TGTAGAACAAAATTCTAACTTACAAAAAAAGACCAGACTTACTGGCCTGACAGAGAAACCGCGAGAGACTAGCCCCCGGACACCCTTTTAGCTCAGAGGTGAAGTCACTACCTTGGTTTACCGTTCAGCCAGGGATTGGACAGCTCCATAAAACAGAATGACACTAATGAGGCACAGCCGTCCAGGGACAAGGACTAGAAGGCAGGAGAGGACAAGAAAGCTGGCGATAGGGAGCCCAAGGTTGAGAAGGGACAGTGTTGATATGTCATGGGGTTGTTAACCATTGTCATATGGCAATATGTGTACTAACTGTTCAATGAGAAACTATTTGTTCTGTAAACTTTCACCTAAAATATAATAAAAATATATTTAAAAAAAAAAAACCAAGTCAATATGAATGGAAAGAAGGGAAAACTAGGGGTGACTTTTGGGGTCTTTTAGGAAACCAGGTAATGAAAGTAGCAACGAATTAGCCTTGGTGCATGGAGTACCTTTGAGATGGTTTGTCATCTTCAAGGACACAAAGGATTTGTCCTCCCCAAACTAGCAGTACATTCACATAGGGAAAGAACCGGCCAGTGGAATCTTAGAGGGCTTATGTAAGTCAACACGGATGCCCTCAGTCTGAGGTCAGCTCAAGAAGCAAAACCAATCAATGGCAGCTTTGAACTGAGAGCCCAGGGTCCACCAGGTCCAGCAGGAGAGGGACACTGGCTATGAACAAGCCCCCAGCACCTCCGCTGGAGAGGTCTCCTGATCCCTGGTGCAGTCAGTCCCCCAGTGCAGGGACCAGCAGTCTGCAGACTCCAGCTCCTGCGGTGGGGCCAGCCAGCCTTTCCCAAGCAGATTCCACTCGTCCCATCCCTGGAGAGCAGGATCGAAGTGCAGCCACCTGACTGGCTTCTTCTGAATCTTCCTGAGCCTTAGGATCCGGGGCTAAAAGCACCTCGTTTTAACTTGAATTATTTTTGTTTGTTTTTTAATTAAGAAAATAACACACAAGCTTGGGAAAATGGAGGAAGGAAAAATAAAGACCTATTTAAAGAGTTCTAAACCAAGTGTAAAAGTCTCTCTCACCCCGATATTCCCATTTTCCAGATTTAACCACAGTTGCAAGTTCTCGTTGAGTTTCTGGAGAAGTTTTATCATAATATAAGAATATGTAGAAGCCTTTTTGGAGCCCTGGTGGTGCAGTGGTTAAGAGCTACGCTGCTAACCAAAAGGTTGGCAGTTACGAATCCACCAGCCGCTCCTTGGAAACTCTGTGGGGCAGTTCTACTCTGTCCTGTAGGGTCGCTGTGAATCGGGATCAACTGGACGGCAATGGGTTCGGGTTTTTTTGGGGGATGGGGGGTGGGGTATAGGCCTTTTTATAAAAGTCACGTGATCATACTCCTCCATGCCTCACCTTTTTAAACACAATATAAAAAATCTTTCCATAGTATCAGTATAGAATTACGTCTTTCTTTTCTTTTTATTTGCTTATTTTATTAGGATTAAATATTAAAATATTTCAGCAAGATATTGAAATTCTTAATTCTTATGCATTAATAACATAGCGAATAGAAAATGGCACAAAATTTGACAATTACAAGGAGAAATGGATCGATCCTCAGTTACAGTGGAAACTTAACCGAGTGTCTTGAAAACTGATAGAGATCAAGTAGGCCAAGAAAGAAAATTGACGTAGAAGATCTGCACCACACCAGTAACAAGTTTGATTGAGTGGAACAGTATTCAACAATTAGAGAAAGTACATTCTTTTTAAGCTCACCAGAAATATTTAGAAAAATGGACAAATACTTGGCTGCAAGGGAAATCTCATTAATAGTAACCTCCTGGTAGTCATCGGAGCCCTGGTGCTGCACTGGTTAAGAGCTTGGCTGCTAACCAAAAGGTTGACAGTTCGAATCCACCAGCCACTCCTTGGAAACCTTATTGGGCAGTTCTACTCTGTCCTATAGAGTCGCTATGAGTTGTAATCAACTCGAGGGCCATGGGTTTGGTTTTTTTTTTTTTTTTCTTTAGTAGTCATTTCTGAAATGGTTTTGTCTTTTCCCTCAATTTGTTTCCTGAATTCTACCCACCAGTTCCTATGTCCCATCTGCCTGTTTGGACCATCTGGTTCTCAATTCCTGTATTTCTGCTCTAGAGTTTTCTTTCTTGGCTGTAATTGCTCCATAAAGGCGTTCTTCTTTCTTTCTTTTTAATCCGTGATGAAATGTTGGGTGTGGTCTCCGTGTGCTCGTGGCAGCGTTTTTCAGGTGAGTTTTCCTCATCCCTCAGGGAGTCGGGCTGCTGCTCGTCACCATTTTCCTTATGTTGTCTTTGCATGATGCTGAGCATGTTCCTCAGGCCTGACACGGTGCCGGGGTTATGTCCTTTCCCTGCTCTGCTTTCTCTATAGGACAGGAACGTTCAACACAGGTGGGTGGGCATCTATGGTTTATTTCACAAATTATCTGACTCCCCAACTGAGAGAGAAGGGTGTGTGTCTGTTTGGTTCACAGCTTCCCCTCAGTAACTAAATCAGTGCCTTATACATGGTGGACACTTAATACGTATCCATTGACTAAATTAGCGTGGGTTAATAGCTGCTGTCAAGAGCTCCGACTCATGGCGACCCTATGCAGTAGCGGTCACTAGTGAGGTGTGTTGGGTGCGGACCACACCTCCGACACTGTCAGAGGGGGTGACACCAAAATGACCCCAGGGTCCACAGTGGCAGGTAGGCTAGTGTCGCAGGGGAGGGACCACCAAGGCAGTGGTGTCACTAAGGTTGGTGTCACCTGTCACCCAGTGTGGTAACTCGTCACCACCCCACCCTCATCACCAGTGCGGTAACTCATCACCCCCCGCCCGTCACCAGCGCGGTAACTCATCACACCGCCCCACCCTCATCACCAGTGTGGTAACTCATCACCGTCCCCCCACCCCCACCTCGTGTCACTAGTGCGGTAACTCATCATCACCGCACACCCCTGTCACCAGTGCGGTAACTCATCATCACCGCACACCCGTCACCAGTGCTGTAACTCATCATCACCCCACACCCTTATCACCAGTGTGGTAACTCATCACCACCCTCTACTGCCATCGCCAGTGAGGTAACTCATCAGCCACCCCCCATTACCTGCCAGTTAGGCGGAGAGGAGAGTCTTCACCTTGGCCAATGGCAGAGGGAGGGAGCTGCCGGGAACCCTGCGGGGCAGGGCCGGTAGGGGTGGGGCAGCTCCGCCCATGGGAGGTTGCTGACCACCCCTGCCCACCCCAAGGGGGTGTGACACCATGAGTTACTGCACTGGGTGACACCAACCCTAGTGATTCCACTGACCCCACGTACAACAGAAGCAAACGTCTGGCCCGGAGTTATCCTCGCAATGACCAGCATGTTAGATGTATTGTTGTGGCTCCTGTGCCAGTCTGTCTCACTGAGGGTCTCCTCACCCTCACTGGCCCTCTGCTTCACCAAACATGGTGTTCTCTACCACTGATTGATCCCTCCCAATGACGTGTCCAAAGCAAGCCAGTCAGACAGTGTACTATTGTGATCCATAAGGTTTTCATTGGCTAGTTTTCAAAAGTAGATCACCAGGCCTTTCTTCTTAGTCTGTCTTAGTCTGGAAGCGCCTCTGAAATCTCTCCACTATAAATGACCCTGACAGTATTTGAAATATCAGTGACATAGCTTCCAGCATCACAGCAACATGCAAGCCACTACAGTACGACAAACTGACAGACAGGTGGTGAAAGTTAGCATAGAGGGGCTCAAAACACAGATGTGGATTTGAATTGGTTGTTTCAAAATCCATTTATTTAACCTTCCAATATGTTGTTACAGGGGATTTGGAAGGTAAGACCCTAAGGGAGGGATTTTGTCCTAGCTTCCCACACACTTTCCAACTCTTTGCCCAAACAGTCATCTCCATTCTGAACTTCCTGTGTCAGGAAATACGCTTAACATTCAGATGTTTACCCTTGCACCCTCATGCACTGGTGCTGGGCATACAAAGCACCTCTTTTTCTTGAGTTGGGCATTTGGCAAGATGCACATGCCATTTCATCTAGCCATTCAGTTTCTAAGAATGTATCCCATGAAGATGCTCACACAGTCCGCAAGGCCATGTGTATACAGATGTTCGTTGTAAACTGGTTGGAAAAAACCGAAGTAGTTTTTTGTTAAAGAGTCCTGGTGGTGCAGTGAGTTAAGCGATCGACTGCTAACTGAAAGATTTGTGGTTCGAAACCACCAGTGACTTCGTGGGAGGAAGATATGGCAGTCTGCTTCCATAAAGATTCACAGCCTTGGAAACCCTATGGGGTTGCTATGAGTAGGAATTGACTAGACGTCAGTGGGAGTTTTTGGTCGGGGACTAGTTTTAAAAGCTGCCTCCATGCACCACAGGGGTTGCATAGGTTGGTCCATTGAGATACGAGGAGAAAAGGCAGAACTATTTATATTTATTTTCCATCTAAATTAAAGATAGAAATGAAGCTTCACTAATATTGAATGTTGAAGTCCCTGTGTCATGCAAACGGTTAATGCACTTAGCTGGTCACGGAAAGTTTGGCGGTTCGAGTTTACCCAGTGGCGCCTCAGAAGAAAGGCCTGGTGATCTACAAATCAGCCATTGGAAACGTTATGAAGCACAGTTCTACTCTGACACACATGGGGTCGCCGTGAGTGAGGATCTCTCCGTGGCAACCTGTTGGTTAATAGTGAATGTTAGGATTGACTCCGTGCTGTTGCCTGATCTGTTGTGTTAGATGGCCCCAAAGACATTGGATTTCCAAGGTCTGAAGGAAGGATGGGAGTTCCTCAACTCAGAGGGACTGGCAGTGGCTCCCAGCTCACAATTTGCTTTTAGCTATTACTGCATTTTGCAGTTTCCATGTGCCTGGTTGAGTGGATTTTAGGTTATTCTGTTTTTAATCTTATGTTAGTAAATGCATAAACAGCCTTCGGCTGGTCTTAGAACCTAACCTTGCTCTTCTTCCAGGAATGCCCTGGCGGAAGGAGCAGACAGAGGACCTGCAGCGCGTGCTCAAGGACGTTGACAGGGAGATCCCACTGGTCTTTGTCAGCGGCAACCATGACATCGGCAACGTCCCCACGGCCGAGTCCATCGCGGAGTTCTGCCAGACTTGGGGAGATGATTATTTCAGCTTCTGGGTTGGGGGCGTCCTGTTCCTCGTCCTCAACTCCCAGTTCTTCTATGATGCCTCCAGGTGCCCTGCCTTGAAGCAGGCCCAGGACCAGTGGCTGGATGAGCAGCTGAGCATCGCAGGGGAGCGCAAGTGCCAGCATGCGATTGTCTTCCAGCACATTCCACTGTTCCTCCAGAGCCTCGACGAAGAGGATGACTACTTCAACCTTAGCAAGTCAGTCCGGCAGGAGATGGCAGACAAGCTCACCGAAGCAGGTAGAGGCCCTGGGACCACACGTGAACGCCTGGGTGGACGGGTAGTCTGGAGAGGTGGTTTCCAGATCTTTCTCGCACCCTCTGCAGTGTGGCAGAGGGGATAGAGAGAACAGGGCATTGGGCAGAACTGGGTTCTGATCCCGGCTTTACCACTCCCTGGCTGTATGGCCTTGCACAAGCTACCTAATCATTCTGAGCCTCAGTTTCTGCATCTGTGAAATAGGAATAGTAGTAGTAGCTCTCTCTTAGGATAACTGTGAGGATTCAATGAGAAGAGGCCTGTAAAGCTTTCAGAGCAACCCTAGCCTAGCAGGTGCTCACAGTGGCGGGATGGGAAGTTGCAGGGGTAGGGTCAGGGGGTGGGTCTGAAGGTGGCTGCATGTGCCTCAGGAGAAGTGAAGACGCAGGGGGTTCTTTTCTCATTTCTCCAGAAAGCAGGAACTTGCTCAAGGACAAGCGATCTGTAAGAGCCAAGCCTTCCAGCAAGTATTAGTGAGATGTGACCCAGGAAACCCTGGAAGTGGCTTTAAGGGGCAGGGGCTGGGGTCTCATCAGTTTGCCTTAGTGAGGTGGGCTAAGCCCTCTTCCAGACTCAGGGAAGGGAGAAGTGTGTTTAGTCTGATCTCACCCTGCTACAGATTTTTAGCTAATCATGCATTTGACACGTGTACACACACACAGAATGACGGCACTCCGTTTTTTTGAGAGCACGTCAGAATCTGACTGCCTTGCACATAGCACTAGCCCACACACCCGGTTTCTCGTCCTGGCCACGCCTGCTGCATCCAGCTCACAAGAAATAGTACATTCCAACTGACTCCTGTGGGCACCAGCGACCTCACAGGATTCCGGTGTTGGCAACTGTTTGCTCTTGCTTTGGTCCTCATTGCTCCTTTGGGATCTTTCCAGAGTGTACTTTTTCCTCTTCTGAAATTTAAATGTATTTATGTATTTGTTACGGGATACGGAGAGAGGAGTCCTGACCCCAGTAGCAAGCTTCACTTAACAAAAACAAAAGCCACCAACTCTTCTTTTCATCTTTGTACATTAAATGTATTAGCATTTACTTGTGCAAAGTACAATAGGGCCTTCTGTGTTTTATTGACATTTTACAAAAAGCTTGCATAATTGGAAACATTTTCCAACTGTTCCACGGAGATGAAGTTGGAAAACTTCTATTAAGACCTTTGAAATTTTCTGCCGTGCTTGAGTTGGTGGGGAGAACTGTTCTGATGACAAGGAAATGAAGTGTCAAGGTGGCATCAGCACCACCACGGAGACTAGTTTGTAACAGAATAATGCCAGAGAGAACATTTAATGGCACTGGAACGATTCCTTTCATATCAAATGTTAAGAGACGCACATGCCGTCCTCGTGATGACTGCCGTTTCTTCTCCGAGCTCATAAACCAGCTTCTTGCTGGCACACAGTTCTGGGTTTCCCATTGTTTTAAAAAAAATCAAGTCGACTCCAACTCATGGCGACCCCATGTGTGTCAGAGTAGAACCGTGCTCCATAGGGTTTTCAGTAGCTGATTTTTCAGAAGTAGATCGCCAGGCCTTTCTTCTGAGGCACGTCTGAGTGGACTTGAACCTCCAACCTTTTGGTTAGCAGCCGAGCATGTTAACCATTTGCACCACCCAGGGACTCCCCATCATAGGACAAATGCCACCTGTAAGTTCCCCAGCTGTTGAGACCTGAGGATAGGTAGACATTTAGAGAGAAGACCAAAGCTCCACCAGGGCCTCCTCAGAAGAAGCCTGCTAACCACCCAGCAAGAGTACCGGAGCGTGGTGTTCTTTCAGGGTGCACCAGCTGGCTCCCCCATCAGGTCCGCAGGCAAGCAATCTCAGGAACCAGATTTGCCGGCACACCCAGAGGCTGTCTGTGTCTGCAAGGTGGCTCAAATGATCACAGATCACAGAGACTGATATCTACAACCAGAATGCCAGTTGATTAATTTAGAGCAAGACTGAGCCACTCCCATCAACACCAGCAGTGCACCCTCTTCCGGAGGCAGAGCTACGTGGGAAGCCAAATTATCATCAGAAGGTTGCTTGGTAAGCGTGAAGCAGAGCACGGGAGTTAGTGTTATTATTCTGCTCATGATGGTATCAGGCTCTGGAAACCTAATGAAGCCACTTCCAGTCGGGGCCATCTTGCCCGGTGGGACTCTGATCTTTCAAGTCCCTTTAATTCTACCTTTTTAATGTTGCTCCATGGGGGAGGTAGTGGTTCAGTGGTGGAATTCTCACTTTCCACGGGTTCGGTTCCTGGCCAATACACTTCACGTGCAGCCACCACCCGTCTATCAGTAGAGCCTGGCGTGTTGTTATGATGCTGAACGGGTTTCAGCAGAGCTTCCAACCTAAGACAAATTAGAAAGAAAGACTTGGCGATCCACTTCTGAAAATCAGCCTGTGAAAACCCTGTGGATCGCAACAGTCCAATCCACAACCGACCACGGGGGTGGCACAGAACCGGGCAGAGTTTTGTTCCCTTGTGCATGGGGTCACCGTGAGTCGGGGGCTGATTCGACGGCAGCTCACAACAGTATTGCCCCAGTCTGTCCACTTCTTTAGGCTACCATCCTCGCTCATTTGGGTCTTAGCAACACCTTCGACTTGGTTTCCCTGTGTCCACTCTTGCCCTGTTCCAGTCCATTCTCCAGCTAGCAGCCAGAGGGCGTGTTGCTGCACAGCCTGAAACCCTTCTGAGGCCCCCATCACTCCAGGAGGAGGCCCAGCTCCCTACCATGGTGTCCAGTGCTCTTCCTGATCTTCTCTGCCTTGTGCTGCGGCCTCTTCTCTTTCACCTGGCCAATGCCTACTCAGCCTTGACAGCTTCTGCATGAGGTGCCCCCACCTGGCCCCAGGTTTGCTCCTCAGCTCTCCTTGATCCCAGCACTTGTCAGACTGATCTGCAAGTGTTTACTTGTCTGAAGATGGCGTGTTTCCTTGTCTGAATCCCCCACTAGAATATCAGTTCCTTGAGGACAAGGGCTATGTTCTATGCATCTCTGCATGCGGGAGGCCTGGCTCAGGTGTTAGCTCATAACACATGCTTAGTCAGTGTTTGTAGAGTGAATGAAGGAATGAACATCTTTGACTCAGTCCCCTCCCTTGTTGGCCAACTGACAGCTCGCTTATTAAGCACCCACTGCATGCTAGACCAGTCCACGTGCTCACGGCACCCACAGGCCCAGTCTCTCAGGCTCACGTCCCATTGCCTTGAAGCCCTTCAGTCTTTGGTATCTGCTCTGCTCCAGATGCTGGGCTTCCAGGTTCACACACACAGAGCAGTCTGTTTGCCAGCATCTACCCGCCCGTACCACCTTCAGGTAGGAGAGGTGTCCTCTTCTTGGCCACTGGCCTTGGGATCATCACCTGAACTCACTTAGCCAGGGAAAAGCAGAGATGGGTGCCTTTCCTGCAGTCACTTGTCAATGTTGGTGACCTGCCAAACCAGGCTGTTTGTTTAATGGCCTTTGAAGCACAGGACAAGCCATGGACAACGTCAGCAAGAGACCCGAGTCAGATGTGGACACGGCTCTGGCGCAGGCTGAGGGACCTGTTTGGTGGGGAAGCACTGGTAGGGGGGCTCTTGTGGGGTGCATCAGTGTCGTCTGTAACTCAGGAGTGCCGAAAATCACTCGGGTCACAGCAGCATAATTTGAACTCATTTTGGAAAGCCAGAAGTTCACGTGATAGTTTGTGAAATTGATTAACGTAAAGACCATGATAAAATACGGGGTGATGATGACAGATGGTATTTAATATTGCCTCTGGCTTCCCCACCCCACCCCACCCCAGCAATGTTATTCCCGAATACTATTTCAGTCTCATCTGTCTCCTGTGCTGAAATGCCAGTACTCAAAAATATGTCAAAAGCTCATCAGAATATCAGGGTAGCTTTTAATTATGATAATTGTGTTGTTATAAAATATCCTTTTAAAGAGCATATCCCTCCCCAAGCCACGGTGGAGGTAAAACCCAGCTTCCTTCCAGCAAGCTTAATGAATAATTCTGAATCATTGTGTGGGATGAATAAATGATTTAATAACGAACATCAACAATCAGCTCATACTGTTGCATTAATTTTTTTAAATGGGATGAGGTAAATGAGGAGGGGGTGTCACTATACAATGGACCACCTCGTGTGCAGGGATACACTCTCCGTATCGAGACCTGCCAGCTTTCCAAAGCTTAGGTTTCCCTAGAAACGGATGCATTCTGTTTCTACTTTTGAAGCTCATGAAAAACCTTTGTGTGATACAGAAACATTGTCAATAGTCAATACAAATAAACAGTTATCAAGGCAGGACAGACACACAGATGTGGAGCGGCACCCATTATTTTCTGTCTTCCTTTGTTCCGCCTGGGGATAATCAATTTCATCACGTCCACATGATATAGAAATTGGTTTTCCCCTTAATTCACCTGGTACCTGGTTGGAGTTGCAAAGACAGATAGTAGACATTGAAATCTTGGTTGAACCTGAACATTGCCTCCGTCCCTCATGCCTTTTCCAGCAAAAGGTTAGTATGTAACCTAGTTAATATGGATTCCAATTTAAAAACTCAATCGTAAAAAACAAAAGGCTAGCTCTTTTAACTGCCGTGTTTCGCTCGATGTTTCAATATCATTTCTTTTTCTATTCTCCACGTGGAGATTAGAACTGTGTATTAGAGAGCCCAGAGCAAATTTAGCAATTACGAAAAACCCCAATAAGTTGATCTTTCCTGCAAAAGTTAATGAGTTAGAGTTTCACAGAATTAGAGTTTCATCTCCAGTATTTATGCTTTCTTTTTTCTTTTAAATAGAGAAAGAGCAAGATCTTAGCCCCTGGTTATGGTTTTAGAAGTTCAAAGTTTTAAAGAACCAAAGAGTCAGGTTTCCACAGTCCACTTTGCAGGAAAAATAAAACAGCAAAACCTACTTGAACATCTTACTGAGTTGCACTAAAATTATTTGTTTACACCCTAATTCCTCTGTTAGATT